TATTTTTAAATATGAATGATTTTATTTTCTGAAGAATTCTTAGAAACAGGTTCCCTGCCCTTCTCGAGGGGTAGACAGATATGAAGGTCACTGTATTTGTAATCATTGTACTGTAGCTCTATGACAAACCAAAGTTTTTCATTGACTGTATTTATCAACATCAGTATATGAAGGATCATTAGAAAAAAGGTAAAGGGGGATAAAAACAACATGATGGAGACAAGCCATGCTATTTTGTAAATTTTGCTTTGTATTTCCTCTGGGGTTTGATGTCACAAAGATTGTTTTATCTGAGTTCCTGAATCGGACATAACCAAAGGAGATCAAAATTAATTTCACTCTGGTGTATTGAAACAGGACATGAGTGGAGTCTACCTGAATGTGAAGGTCTGGCACAGATAAAGTTATTTAAATAAGTGTAGCAAATGGGTGCAACACAGTTTTGATGGAGTGGAGTTAGAATGTAGATGCAGGTTAGTGTTAGCAGTGACTAGTTAAATAGATAGTTGTTAGTAACAGCAGTAAACAGTTAGCAGGAGTAGTTAAGTTCAGTAGTTGGAGTTAGCAGATAACAGAGAAGCGAGAAAGCATTATGGAAGGAAAAGAAATTAGATTTTTATTAAAATGCTCCTTAGAAATCACATCAGCCCCCAAAAGTAAGAATTTCTATTAAAGAAGATGTCATTCTTCACTATTTTCTTTTCTATTTTGATTGGCTTTGTTCGTCGGGTCCATTATAAGTGTATGTCTTGTCACTCAGAGTCCCACTGGGATTCTGAGCATTTTCGTCTACTAGGTTGACTCTTGATTGAGATCTCTAAAAATTCTCCCTTATTCAACTCTTCTTCTATCCTACACCTCCTGATTTCTGAGGAATAAGTTTAGTCTCTGCTTAACCCAGGAGACTGTACCACATAGTACAAGTGACATGGAGTCTTCTCTTTTTTCCCTCAAAGCCAGTGCCTTCACCATTTTTCTTTTCTTCCCTGCCTGTCTTTAAGGAACCCTTGCCTATCTGCCCTGCTAAAGAATTTATTCCTCTTTCTAGGTTCTTATTCCAACTCCTTTCTACATTTTTTTTGGTCAAAATTTTCTCCATTAATGTCACAGGCTAAAAAAAATACTCAACTGTTCCCCTTTTTTCCTAAAATAAATTAAACAAAGTTGTCTCTGGATTACTTGCCTTAATTCTGCCTTGGATGTCCCAAATATGTGCCTCTTTTCCTGTCCTTGTCTTTACCTGAAATGGTTCCCTTGGGTTCTCTGCCATCCAGAATTCTACCGCTCACTTAGTTCAGTGGTTTTTGAAAAACACTCGATGCAAAAGCAGATGTTCCACAAGGGAGACTCAGAGGCCAACGACAGGGAGCCAGAGAGTGGGCAGCAGATAGGTTAGATCTCCATTGTCAAGCAGAAAAACTCCCATAATAATTGTTTTACACATTTAGCAAGTGCAATTTGGGTGCTTTAAAAATATTTGAAAATGACATGTCTAATGAAATTGCAGAGAGGTTAAGTGACTTGTTCAAGATTAGTGGCATATTTAGAGCTAGCACTTGGGTCTTCTGAATTCCGATTCCATACTTTTTTTCCATTATTCAGACATGACTAGGGGGCATTTTTAGGTAAGGAATAAATTTCTCCATTAAATGCTCATAAAGGCTTTTCTTCCATGCAAATATAATTTTAAATTATGGAGTGGTTGCTGTCATAAGTGATTTATTTCTCTCCACCTAGAATGATGTATAGACCATTGGTGCCCTTATTCACTCAAGACATGTTCTTTTGTGTGATGCAAGGAAACTCGATTCTACAATGACATGGAAGGTGATTTTCAGTTTTTGGCAATGTTGTAACTTAAATCAATGTTAGACTATGTTTGAAAGGTTAGAAGACAGCTTTGATTCGGGGAAATTCACTGAGATGCCTTCAGTCTTATCCTGAGAAAGTACTGTCTTCTTCCTAATCAGTTAAATTTCTGGGAGTAGAAGGAAAAGATTTTCTGGACTTAACCTACAGACATTTTTGAGATAATTTTTACAATTCATAAGCCTGACATTATATGCCAAAGAACATCCTCTTCCACTAGCTTCATTATCCTGACCCTTTCCTTTTGCAGTCTGACCCATTTGGTTCAATTGAAAGGGAGCCCATAAGTATTGAATGCTTTTGGTTCTGGAACATTCTTGCAATAGCAGTTTCACAAAAAGCAAAAGGAGACAGGGAATAAGGAATATGGCTACATGCTTTAGGTCAGCTCTTTCTGTTGTTTTGTGATCTCTAAGGAATCAAATATTTTGGGTTATTAAAAACAATTTTAGAGAGTGTGACTGAATATCTTGTACTTCATTTAGACATGATTGAACAGCAAAAATGACCTGAAATGTTTCATGAAAAATTATATTTAAAGTTATACTTAAATGAAATAACGTGGAATGCTGATGCAAAATACAACAGTGTGATGTACTTTTATGTATCACAATACATAAATTTAAATCACTTTAAATTGTTATTAAATTATAATTAAATTAACAATAAACTAACAAGACACAGGGATTTTAACAATGTGGTGTGGGAGGTAAAAAAAATCCACTTAGATTTTTTTTTTAACCTCTCCGTAGTCTAAAAGAACAGTTGCTTTGGTCTAATCAACTTTGTTTTGCATATTGTGCTTAGTTAGCAAGCACCTTTCGTTTGCTGAGTTTTCAGAGTTGTCTTGCACTTTTGAGTTTTTACTCACATTGCAGTCACAAGATGAGAAATGTAGACACTGTGTACAAACAAGAAGTTCGTGCAAAGTCAAGCTCTCAAAACCACATGCAAGACTCAGTGGCACATGGTTTAGAGCTCACACACTCCAGGATCATGTGATACAGGCATGCAGATGAAGAGGAAAGAAAAGCACCTACATCATGAAAATAGAGGAGGATGAAAGAAAATGACATTTTCTTTATGACAATTATCTAATGCAAACCGTATACCCATAACCTTTACCAGAGTGGAGAAAGGGGCAGGTAAGTGACTTTTTGTGGGGAGGGGGAAACTGTATATAAATATTATTAGAGGTCAAGTCATTGTTAAAGTTAAGGATTTCTGTTCTGTACTTGGCCTCTTCCAAGTTGTCTTCCCCAGTTTCTTGCTTTATATTTCTCTGCTACATCATGCAAAAAAAGATCAGAACTAACACTGGAAATCATTTAACAAGCTCTAAACCTGACAGATAACAAGGGTGTTCTCCACAATTTACACGAGAATTAAATTGGATATAAATACCTCCTGTTCTTACCGGTGGGTGTTGTGATTCCATGTATTAAGGTGTGAAGCAGACAGGAAAGAGATAAATCTTTCATAAGTACATTGTAAATAGGCAAGTGGTAGATAAACCATATTCACAGGTAATAGAGTCAAACAATGAAAAGTAAATAGTCGTCACAAAATAGACTTTACACAAAAAAATGGTCACAAAACTAGAGTTATATGGAGAGGGGAAGGACAATAAATAATTGTTTTACTACTGTTATTGAAATAATCTGGCAGTATGGAACAACGAAATTGAGTGACAAGTGTTTAGATTAAAAATTCTTGACACTGCTTCAGCCAGCCCCGCATTAGAGAATCCCCAATAATTTCTGAATGCTGATATCTTCATTAAACAATAATATGGATGGAAATATGTAAAAGTGACCAATTTGCAGGTACTTTCTTGTGAGATTAAAGTGTTACCTTGGTTAGATCAGTTTATCAAATGAATTTGCACAAGTAACTTTGAGATCATTAGAAGTAACTAATGGAATTCAGTGATGGTTTTGTATGAAATGTGCTGATTGATTAGTTCTACAAATTAAAATTTTTATAATGGCATGCTCTTACTCCTTAGCCAAATAAATTATGCACAGCTACGATAAACTTATGTATAAATACATCTTCCAAACTGAGCAGTATTTGCAAAGCTTTTTGCATCTTGACTGTTAATTTTGGATCTTTGCTTTCTTATTAGGATATTAGTGGGCAGATACAAAATATCAATCTAAATAGCAATGGCTCACCTTTGGAAAACCTATATTATGGTTTTTATGTCATTTAAAGTGAATGATTTTATTTTCTAAAGAATTCTTAGAAACAGGATCCTTGCCCAACGGAGGAGTAACTAGATGGGAGGGTAACATAATTTTAATCTTTTAAAAACAGGTCTATGATATGCAATAGAATTTGCATTTATCACATGATTTATTTTTAAGTAATCAATCTCTACAGCCAAATAGCTAGGTCAAAAGGATGTGAAGAAATTCTCCTAATAATAAAAGAGCTCTTTGAACCACATTACTATTATTAGTCATATTGGTTCTTGAGCACTGATAGAGGAGGGAAGAGTTATGAAAAGTGACTGTGGATGTTGAAGTGAATTAAGAGTTATGAAGGAATCCATAGTCCCCCCTTGAAAGGAAAGATGCATTATACCAGATACAGTAAAAGGGCACATAGTTAATTGATTAAAATATATTGTCCTGTTTAACAGAAACATGAAACTTCCTATCATAAAATATTTATGATATACTTAAGCTCCTTAACCTCTCCCATAGATCCTCAAAATGTCCTATTTTTAAAAATATTTTTGTTGGGGTCATTAAAGCTATTATTTACTTGTAAAATCTTAATCCACATGGCTCCACCTACTTTTGTGGGTGCTAGCAGCTAAGCCATGTAGTGAAAACCAAGTCCCAATTTAGCAATGCTCTCTCTCACCAGAAGTGGGAGCTCTGCTACAAACAGTTATATCAGTTTGCATCATGTTATAATGCCTTTGCCACACAGTATAACTAGATATAGCACCATGCAATGCCATGAATTGAGAATGAGAGACTATCTCCAGGGGAGAAAATAAACATTCGAGAGAGGAAAACAAAAGCAAGGGGTTCAAAGCTGGTGAGACTGGATTTTTCCATTTTGGCTGTAGCTATAATGCCTGAGGGGCTCCAGTTTTGGAAAACAGAAATACATACCATGTTCATGTCAATGCCATTGGTGTAAGTCCAGGCGTGCTGGAAGTATTCTTCAAGCCGTTGTCTCAGAGGGTTGGGGATTTGGTGAAAACGAATGAACTCTTTTACTCGCAGCATCTGCATGTGGTACCTGGCAGTTCCCGAGTATAGCCTTTGGATAATTGCAGATACGTTCCCAAAAATGCTTGCATACATTAGTGCTGGATAGGATAAAAAACAAAGTTATGGGGGAAAGGCTGCACTTGGGCATGTTATATCCTGTCAGAATCTCAAGTATGTAGATTTTTTATTCTCTCAATCCATCTGTGAGGATTTACTAATGCTTCATGGGGAGTAAAGAAGTTAACACTGCTGTAAAATTTATAATTTTGATGATAAATCTGGAGAGGGAAAAATGTCCAAATTCACCATCAATTCGAAATTAAAGTAAAAACTCAGATTGTTTATGATATCAACCTGTAACCAACCCAGAGCATTGTCTAGAGACAAAATGCATCTAGAATAAACATTTGGTTGGTAATGTAATAAGAAGGTATGTCATGAGGTTACTACAAATCTGTTTTCTGGAAGTGAAGTTAAAATGTTAATTTTAAAATTGTGGCATCTCTACCTCAGACTTAAATCTAACCTCGTAATATTAAAAAATCTACTATAAGGTTTAAAATTATTTAGAATATTTTGGATTTGCTAAGGAATGAGAAATTTTGAGAAACTCATAGTTTCCTTAGTGTGTTTATTTGCATATAACTTCTAATCTATTAAAATTCACTTAATTTCTACATGAGAAACAAATATCTCTAGCTTAAAATATGAGAATATAGTTTTGTTTTTGTAGAGAAAAATAGAATACCTCTTTGTTTTTTCATCTCTAGGAAGAAAAAAACTAATATTCAATACTGGGTTGGAATGACCTTTTTAATGGTCCTGGGATAAATATTTATGATTCAATGTAAGCTTTTTAAGCATCTTCTCTTTCTTATTATATTTGTATTCAGTTTCTAATAATCCTAAAAAATGCTATATTCTGTACAGAAAGTCACATTATGATACCTGGTATATCTTGACCTTTGGGTGTATGTCAGAAACTTAAAAGAGGAAGTAACACATGTTTAAGACACTGGAACTGCAATACATTAAGCAGGAAGGAAAAAATAAAACACCTTGAAGTACTTGTTTCAACTAAATTCAACCAACACATTTTTTCCCCCAACATATTTATAAATAATTATCTATATAAACTACTTATTTTTAAAGTAAATTTTGGCCAAATTTAGTCTGTTTTAAAGTGACTTTATTTTCTTGGTCAGTCATTTGCTTTCTTTTCCATCTTATCTTTGTCTCTTGGTTAGCATGGTCCACAGATGTCTCAATAAGAGAATGTCCCAGAGAAAGGGATGGCTTTATTTTCATCTATTTAAAGGGATGAAAACTGGGGAGACCTATAGTGAGGCTGAACTGGGATTTGTGAAAGTCAGTAGTTCTCATTAAGGCAGACATGCTGTTTAGCTTGTATCTTCTACAGACATAAGACTCAGGTCTAATTTGAATAAATGAATAGTTGACTAAAAAGAGAGTTAGCAATACTTACCTGAAACTGATTCCTATGAGCCAAGGAGATTCATGTGAAAAATATATTTTACCCTGCCTAACTGTAGTGTTAGAAATGTTTATGCCTACTGTTACGTGTCCAAAGTTCTTATATTCTCAGGAAAACAGTTTAGTTAGTACAGATTAAGTTCACTTGTTTTAATCAGAAGGCACATAATCAATGCTGGTTATTTTACTTAAACCACATAATTATGGGAAGAAGAGTCAGGGAAAACATTCTTATTTTATTTTTAATAAATACTGTGGCTTTGTCTCTATATTGCCATAAAGATGAACCAAACATTAGCTTGGATCATAAACAGGTATTTCCACTCATTGACAAGGTGGCAAAATCTAGATGATAAGAATAGTTGAATACATGAATAGCATATATTTCTCTAAGGAAATTCTATGCTGATCTGATGGCTTTTTAAATTATAATGAAGGCATGAATTTTTTCCTACTTTTTTAGGAAGCAAGTGGAGCTAAAGGCTGTAAGCAAGAGAGATGTACAAAATGATTATATTCTGTATACATTATTTAATGCCCAGCAACTGGTATAAAATAAGAATCAAAAGCAAGTTGGCAGACTATCTAAGCATTTCTTTCCTCAACTCAATATTTTGTTTAGCTTTCCTTAATAGAAAATTCTTCCTTCATCAAAATGGTTTGCTTGAGGTTTAAGTATTATAAAAATATAACAGGCTTAATTAAAAATTTCAGCACACCACACTCCAAATCTGATATTCTCACCAAACTAATGAATTTAGTGGTCACTGGGTAATAGCTGAAACTGGCTGATAGAACAAATACACTTGCTTTTCTACTTATTACACAAACTTAAAAAAAATAAATTTGATTGATGTGTAATTTACATGTAGTAAAATGAATCTATTTTAAGCACATAGCTCAGTTTTGACAAATGTATATAGCCCTGTAAGCACAATCAAGACATAGAACGTTTTCCTTATTCCAAAAAATTCCTGTGTCCCTTGGCAGCCTGCCCACTCATTTCTAGGTTGACCTAGACAACTACTGAGCTCTTTTATGTCTTCACAGACTAGTTTGTATTTCCTAGAAATTCATGTAAATGGAATCATAATGTACATATCTATTTGTTTCTGACTTCTTTTGCTAGTACATTGTTTTTGAAATAAAAAATCTGATGCATATGTATCAGTAATTTGTTCTTTTTTTAATCGATGAGTAGATTTGCATCCCGTGGCTCTTCCACAGTTTTCTCTCTTCTGTTGATGAACTCTCACTGTTTATAGTTTTTTACTATTATGAATAAAACTGCTATGAATATTTGTGTACAAGTCTTTGTGTGCGCATATATGTTCATTTCCTTTTGAAGTATCTAGGAATGGAATTACTAAACTGTATGGTATGTTTAACTTTGTACGAAACTGCCAAATTATTTCCCAAAGTTGGTGTCATTTTACATTCCCATCAGCAATATCTGAGAAGCTCGGTTGTTCTACAACCTTTCCAGCACTGAGTATTGCCTTGTTTTAACCACTGTAGTACTGTATAATA